AAAACATTCCTTAGCATACGACGATCGTAAAATGTTCGTACTGAGAATAGTAAATTTAGAATATTGCATCAATCACTATTAATATTTATCAAGGAGCGTAAATGCTAGTAAACAATACAGCCAGTGTAGAACCACGTATCGTTACAGTCACAGTTGACGGTGTACATAATATATCTTCTCTATCACAGCTAAATGTAATCATAGTGGTTCGAACAGAGATCGAATAACAAGGATGTCGGTAAAAGGTAGTCGGTATACGTGATACGAAATTTGCTTGCGGGTGGCGCTGAAACAATTGCTTGGCGAATTTTAAATGAATCTTCCGGTAGCATACTTTACACTCTTGACCTACGTCAACGCATGATCAAATAAAAATTTACACATTATGACTCATGTCCCTGTTATAAGCATATAAACAACAAACGTTTTTCTTTTTACTAGACAACAAACACTGAGACATTAAAAAATTAACAAAAACTTATATTTGTAACAACCTAGTTTTGGAGGAAACGGAATTTCTTACCACTAGATCTATAAAAATCAAGTTTAAGCATTATGAGATTTTCTAGCGAGTGTATCAACCTCAATGCAAACCAACATATACATGAGTGTTTAATGGTGCGACAAATTTCATACAGCAGCGCATTATACGTCAGGATAAATATCCTTAGACATGGACTCTGAGATACGGCCAGAGCCAACTAAGTGAAGCGGTTCAAGAAGAATAGAACCCAGATAAATTTATAAACGCTGATTTATGTCCGCTTATATCGTCTGCACTGTAAATCGCAAATAAAATTTATTTTGTTACGGATATTCTTATATCGGGCATTTTACATAATTTTTATACATCTGCCAAAGTGGAGGTTTATGAAGTTTTTTTCTTATGGGAAAGTAGGCATAAGTAAAAGTGATTTTGGTGTGGCAGTTTTTTTTTCAAAATCATATACTTATACCTACTCTTTTACATATTTTGTGTAAATGATGTATATAGTTAAGTTTAATTAAGTACTATATTATTTTGTACATAATTATAAAACAAACATTTTAAATAGTTGTTTAAATGTAAATGGGAATGAAATGGCATATATAAAAATATTATATATACTTAGGTACATTGTGAGACTAGTTTTCAAACAATGATTTTGAAAAAACTGGAAAACTAGGTATACAATGTCAGAAAATTTAAAAAAAACTTTTGACGCTGCTTTTTTATTGTGTGCCCGCGTTTTTATTTTACACTTGCTCTTTTAGTTTAAGCCCATTTGTTTTACTTTTCACTCGTGTTTTTTTTTGCCGGCCTATGTTTTACATTACGTCTGCAATTTTTAGTCCTGCTTTTTTATTATACACCCGCTTGTATATTACGTTCCTTTTTATTGCTGTACACCCACTTTTACGCCAACTATTTTCTGTAGGCCTGCATTTTTTTACGCCTACTTTTGTTACTTACCGTGTGCTTGTTTTTACCACACGCCTGTTTACTTTTACTGTATGCCGTTTTTATCCGCTGGTTTATTCTTTACGTCTGCCTTGTTCTTTGTACCTGCATTTTTTAACATTACGCATGCCATTTTTGTCCCGCTTCTTTTATTAGACACCTGCTTATTTTTATATTACGCATATTTTTTCCTTTACGTCCGCTTTTTGACTTTTCTTACTTTCTATTCGCTTGGGTATTTTTTACGTAAGCTTTTCTTCCTTTGAACTTGCCTTTTTTTCATTGTTCCTGATTTTTTTGCTTCTTGACAACTTTTTTCCTGTATGTCTGTTTTTCTTATTTTACGCCCGCTTTTTTCTTTGTGCCTGCCTTTTTATTCCTTTAACAATCTTTTCTTTGTTTCAAGAAGGTGCCACATGCGAACTCGCACTGTTTCTCGCACAGAGAAAGAGATAGAAAGAGAAGTGTCATGTGGCTTTCTGTAAAAAGACTATGTATAAGCGCGATGGGACTCGCTCATTTTCAATGTCACTTATCACGATAAGTATTAATTTTTGGGTCTTGGGCCCGTGACAACTTTTGATCAGGACATCTCAAACTATAACATATTTAATTTTCAGGCAATTTGACGGGTCGCCGATTTCCGTTGACTGTGTGTGGGGTCCTTTATTCTATAAATAAAATATGTATTATATGCTAGTCCACTTTGTTTTAAGAAAAATGCTACAAAATATTCAATATTGTGCCAATATTGTTTAAAAAACTTTTCTGATAGTTTGATTAATGATACTTATTTTGCTGGTGAAACTGGTATTTTGGTGTTATGAAGATGAATAATAAGTATTTGACATTTATTTGTTCGAAGAATTTTTACTTTGTTGATTTATTCTACATTATATCGGCCTGCAGCTTCTTCCTCCAACGTATAACTTAGTTCCGATTTTAATAAAAATTGTAATAAAATAATTTTTGCGATTTTTTATCTTAATAATATTGATTTTTAGGTACTTGCCATTTTTCAAAATTTACAGTAGTTTCTCTTTCTTCGAACCTAATCTATTACATATTAACTGTTTTGATGATTCATTACTGTCTAGTGATGGCGCATAAAACTGAAGCATAAATTACCTATAGAACACCTTAAGTGGCGGCTAATAAATAATAAATAATTATTATGTATTTCCTTTGTTTAGCGCACGTATGGTAAGTCCAGTTGCATAGTTTTCGAAGAAATATATGTCAGTGTATATTAGCCATAGTACAGAAATGCCTGAAACAAGTTTCAGGAGATGCAGTCATATTTATTCCACAAAATTAAAAACATTTACATACCTATTCAAAAATCACTAATTGTATTTACTACCTCTGCAGACTAAGATATGTGAATTCAATTACTTCGACGTGAATTTTTTCTTTTTAGTTGTGAAAACATCTTCTAAAAAATAAAATATCTAATCTAATAAATCATCTGTGCTTTTTAAAAATATTTTATACGTAATCGTGCAGTGACAACATAACAAATTCAATCCACGAAGTAGGTCGCAGGAAGAAAAGAATCAGAAAACTAAATCTACTCGTCTACTCTATTATACCGACTTTAGCCAAATACACTTTATCAAAATATATCGTCATTGCATGAGTTGCCTTTGTAGGCGGATGGATAGTCGAGATTCATCAATAATTTATCGACTTTTGTTTTATTATCTGACAACTTGTATAGCAATATTTTCCAAATAAAAGTTTCAAATATAAATGGCCCGTGTGCGTATATATCTGTGATGCGTTATATCTGCTAAAGTTCAACCTATCGAAAAATGCACACTTTTATCGAACAGGAAATATTTCGAAACACTTCCTAACTTTATGATCTGGAATATTTAAATCACTTGTGCCAGATTTTTATTATGTAAAAATATTCAGAACACACTATTGATATTTGTTATTGAAAATCTAATTAATCAAAGTTTATAAATAAAAAAAAAAACTTTGCCCAATTTTCCTTCAGGAGGTTCTTTGGATACTTTCAACTAATATTTCTTAATGAACTAAAACACCGATTTGCGAGATGTAGGGTGTTGACGTTTAAAGAAAATATCACATTAATTAAAATATCTCTAGAGATGTTTGACTTAGGTTGATAAAACTTGGACTAATGGTATATAACCAATTAAATGCAAAAATTTACTGAATTGATATAAATATCTTTCAATCAGTAACGAAGAATGGTCGCATACCTACGGAGTATTTTGAAAATTAGATATCGCATTTAAATTGTAATGTTATCTATATATTTGTAAGTAAAAATTATTTCATATTATTCGAAAAGCAAGCCATATTCAAATTTTCATTCAAATAAAGTAATGCAAGAAATAAACTTTTGGAAGTTGTAATATGGATTTACAAAACACCCAGTGAATAAGGTGTTCCGAATTTCATAGAGACTTTACCCAGTAACAGAAAAGAAGCAGAAAGTTGGGTCGGGAGATGCTTGTTTCTGAGATTTCTTCGGATTAAAATTTCTGAAAACGGGTTTTTCAGTATTGTATACTCAAAACGCCGATAGTTAAACAAATGAAAATGCTTCTTTCACTGTTTATAAGCACTTTATCAGCAAAATAACAAATTTTAGTACATCAATCTTGATGTGACTTTTTTTCACTCATTTAAGGCACGTGTTTTAAAATTCTTAGTTTTTTAGAGGATGAATATCTTTTTATTTAAAATTACTCATTTACGTCAAGTACAAATTGTTTTATCACTATTAGTAGTTTAGATAAAGACAAGAAGTATGAAAACTTTTTTTTATTTCAAGTTTAGCGTATCTATTATTTAGGTTGAGGTACATACTTGTAGCGTTTTTCATTTCAATGTGAAGAGTGCTATAACAAGAAATGTGTCTACAATTTATTACCATCTTCTAGATAGATCTAGATAATCCCTTTCAATAAAAAAATTGTCCTAGGAAGCTGATTTGAGACGACATCTCCAAGCATTTAGATTGACTTATGTAGTACATTATTCCAAATAAGTAAAGTATGATTTTAATAAAAAAAAAAACTTACAAACTTAAGCACCAAAATTTTTTTGTCGTAACTGCTTGATTTAGAGCAATGCTTTCTTTGAAATGTAAACACTGTAAACACGTATAGTCCGTACGATAGGTATTTGTTGAAACAGAATTCTAAGAAGACCCCTGCGTCACTTTCTTGGAATTAAACGCATTCCACACCCGAAGTGGAAAGATATTGGCGGAAAATTTCAAGGCACGCCCATGACGCGGTAAATTGTTACAGTAGTTCCGATAACAGTACTTTATTGGCTTATTCTTTTCTTGGAATTCTAACTCAATAAATATTGTACGGACTATAGATGTTCTGAATCTGGTAGGTACACCCTACATGAAAATATCTATAGTCAAAAGTTTCTCGGAAGCTTGAGGCTTGCTTTTTGACATTTAACCGATTACTCCAGCTATCGGAGTATTTTTTCTGCATGTACCATTAAGAATAGTATTAAATGCTAATTGGCTATTTGACTAAATTTTGTAAAATTATTACAGGCCTCGGAGTGGCAATGCCTCAGGCGTCCGAAAACAGGAAGTGCCGGAACCAGGAATTTCCACTAAATCGGACCACACCTAAACAGAAAATACGTACTACAACCAAAACTGGACCCCTGTGAAATATGTGTATACTCTAGTGGATAGTGTAACATATTATTTATGATCCAAAGTAACTAAATATTTAAGAGTAAAATATTTTTTTGACCCATATTTTTTTAATTAAATATGATTTTGTAAAAAGTTTTTTATCCGAAAAATTACTTGAAAATACGTAACTGGTTTCATGTGCCATAATTCAGAAAATTAAACGATATACGTAAAATATAATCCTATTTTAGAAGATTAAGTCTAAATTATATAAATATATTGTATAAGTGACTGATATTTTGTTTTACATACTTAAAGCTGTAAATACTACATATTAATTATTATTGTATTATAACAGTAGTGCTCTTTTTTAAATAACATCAAAATTTCTGTTATAATTTTAGTAAGTGATTTAAAAGCACTTATCCGTGCAATATTGTAAGATTTATGAATTTTGATGTTAGTAGAAAATACTCTATGGTTATCAGTAGCAATTTCTGAATTGTACATTTTTTCGCAATTACGTATAATGGATCTCTACTTTTTTGTATTATAAATTCCTATTGTACTGTAGTGTTAGAATAACTATGTCCATTGCAAATTGTCGATGTTGTTGAAGTAGAGCTTAAAATTTTTTTGTTAAATAGCCCCTACAAATAATATATCTATACAGATGAATTACTAAATATATTATGAATGAACTATTTCAGTCTAAACTCAGTAAAAATATTGCATTTTTGCTGGTATTAGGTATTTGGTATTTTGTTCTAATCAGCTGTAAAATATTTTTAACGAATTTATTTTACAAAAGCCGATAAATATCAAAAAATTACATTGATCCATGTTTTCGTATTTTTATGTAAACTTAAAAAGGAAATAACATTTTCTCTAAGAAAAAATTGAGTCAAAAAGGTATATAAATGTGACCCTAAAACTTTTGTGTCCAGAACAGCACTATTTAGCGTATATATTTCTCAATATTTTAAAAAATATGTTGAATATAATTATTCCTATTTAAAAATACGATATTTTTTTGTTATATCCAAAACATGTTTGTCTACAAAGTTAAATTATTTCAAACTTCCATTATATTTGCTGCAACTTATTCCACATCTCAACCTACGTTGAAATATTTTATTCTGTAGTTTAGACTGACATATTATATAGGCCAGAGATATTTAAAAAATAGTCTTTGACAGTGATTTTATGAAATCATACAAGACTGATTGATGTAATATAATATCAGTAACACTGCCTTCCGAGTGATATAAAACATAGTTTTTATTTTTATTGAAATAATTCTTTTACATTCAGTTTGTACTTACATTAATGTATTTTTCAGTTTGAATGTTTAATACATTTCATTTTTATACATTCTTTATTCAAAACTTTTTTCCTGTTTGTTGTTGAACATCTTGAGCATTATTACGTTTATATTGACGATTGTAATATTATTTTTATTTATTTTTTACTTTCAAAATTTTAAATTTTGAGAAAAGTATTTTAATTGTAAATCCGTTATAATATTTGTTGAGTTAAATTTTACCTGAAATTGTTGTAAAACAGTTTTATCTTTTTATTGTGATAACGACTTTATTTAACACAAAAATTTTAAGGCTCTTTTGATAGAAGCTGAACTGCCCAGCCACATTGGATTTTTGCACAAATTTGTAAATATTATATTATAAAAACTTCATTTTTTAACTAATCTATAGATAGAGCACCGCTTGTACTAATTTAGAAAAATTATATTTCTTTTGTAATATAGCGTTAATGTAAATAAAAACTTAAACCTCTTCTTAAGAATTTATGCAGTTGTGCGTATTGTACCTAAAAGATAGCTTTAGTCATAAAATTTTATAATTTAAGGTAAACATAAAATTTTTTATTTAAGTTGTTTGAAACGAAAGTACAACAAATGTATACGTCAAAGTACTAATAGTGTAACTAAATACCGAAAAGGAACTTGTACCTTGCAAGCCAGTGTGTTTGGGCTAAAATTAGGCTACTTACGTCTCTGTAACGGTTATAAACTATTAATATTATTGTACATAATGCTGTAAAATTCTCTTAGGATAAGGATAAAATGTATACTGTTTATCTAATTATATTTGTTTGTTTTTGGTTTTATATTATGAAAGTTTTGTTGCTTATTGTTGCTCAATATTTCATTTTTCAGTATGTACTATAGGCTCTTTATCTTCTCTGTCGTCTATGTGTGACTGTAATTTATTTTAATAAAAATAGTGTTCTAAAATATGCAATTTTATTTTAAAAAGTTAGCATTAAATTTAATTCAGTTTGGAGAAACTTTTTAAAACTTTTAGGAAACTAGGACGCCCTCAGTACATAGATTTTTATTTGTTTCAATTTTTTTACGCCCGTTTTGTAGGTATAGACAAACGGAACTTTTACGAAACCCGGTAATAAAACTGAATGACCTACTAAAACAGCTGGCAATGTTTGAACTTTACGGATAATAGAATAAACGCCATATGTCACAGAAATAGTTTAAGTGCGGCTTTGTTGGAAAAGATTTGATTAAAGTCTTTTTAGAAGGAATATTACATCTGTCTAAATTGCCACACTTGATTGCTTTGAATTAATAATTTTATTTAAACGCAATATTTGAAGTAGCCGAAATTACCCATAATTTAAACTTACTTTATTTTATAAACTACAATAAATATAAGTATTTTGTTTTGTCTTTATTCCTAATATTGTTACTATTTAATATAAATATTATTATTAACTACACTTTCAAATATAATCTACAACAATTACGACAAAGGAAATCATAACTTAGGTTTGTCTTTTATCTACTACTGATTTTTGTTAAAACAGTAAAACAACTAATTGTAATCCATATTGTCTAGGTCAATACTGACACATTTCATAGCAACATACTTTTTTTAACTTTCCCATATTAATGAAACATTATTAACTTAAAATAAGTAAACAGAAATTATTACCTACTGTTTATTGAATTAATCCATATTTTATATATTTGAAAATTGGAAAAACATGAAACATAATGCATGAAACAAATATAATTTTAGCTAGGTAACTATATAAATAACAATCTAAAAATACAAATTAAGCTATAACCCAAAGAGCAAAGGGTTTTTGGTGCAATCCTTCCAAATATTTCCATAATTCGTTAAAATATAGGATCACCTAAAAAAAATGTATTCATTTATATTTTGGTTCATAATGGGCTAAATATAACTTTAAAGTTCTAATATAGTTTTGTCATGCAATGCTGTCATTAGGAAATTTTACGAATAAAGTCACTTTTGATTTATATTTATATCTAATAAACTTTACTTAATCAAAATATTTTTATTTTCGTGTTATTTAATCGTAGTTTTGAGAATTCTTAGCAGATTACAATAATAAAATCTAATTAGATGATTTGGGATTTACAGTACAGTACAATTTACAGTACATACTAACAGTTACTCTTTAAAGTCATTTAATAGTCGTTGTACGTACTTTTTCGTTAAAAATAATCACGTACCTACTGCTTCAAATTCTAAAAAGAAACTAAAATATTGATCAAGATTGTTGTTATGATCTATGTTAATATTCACATATACGTATCTGCTCCTTTGGATATAAAAAATGTGGGAATAAATAATTATGACGAATTGTTATTCAAATCACAACAATATTTAGCAAGATCATGAGATGAATACATAATTATTAAGCTGAAAGACTTCATACTAGAGGAATTATGTACAGTGTACCGTAAAATATTTACAAGGTATCAGAAAACTTTGAATTACTTATATTTTGAACCATATTAATTCTTAATTAAACTTCTGCATCTTTAACAATTTCATATTTTAGGTGATTACAAGTGCGGCGGGAAGATTACATAGAATTTTATCTTATGCAATATCTCTGCGTTTTCTTGGTTAATATCGAATACAAACTTAAAAGTGAACAAAATTAAATGAAATAATTATTTTATAGTATGTAATTACATATATTTTAGTTTATAAACATATTTTGCAGAGCTAGACAAAACTAAATTACCTAGTATAAAAGATATTTTATAAAATAAGTCTATGATTGCTATTTACATATTTTTAAAACAATATACCCAATATGAGATAAAAAATGGAATTAGAAAACACTAAAAACCGCCAAAAATAATTTAAAACGCGATGCCATTCTCAGTTCTATTGAAAACAACTTAGAGGAATGTTTTTATTTGTCTACTTTTGAGATAATTGTTTAAAGAAAACAAACTATTTTCATAAAATTAATGCTTGACTGATCCGTTTGGCGTAGGGGTTTATTTGATCAATTTTTAATATTTTTTCACACTCAATAAATAAAGACAGAACCAAAACCATGCTACAAACACGTAACTTCAAATAATTTTATTTTCTTTCCCCAAATTCCGAACATTTTAACGGATAATTCTAGTTTAAAAAACTTTATTTTGCTTTATTGATGGTGGGGCACCCAAAAAAATAAGGAGCGCGATCAAATCCTAATGGAGGTCAAAGTAATTAAGTATAAACAGCTTATTATTAAAATTGCTTAATATACTTTATTATTAGTGTTTGGGGGATCATAGTCCACTAGCATCCCCTGGTATGCCATTGTAACAAATAGTATTGATCTTAATAACGACTACAAATAAAGTCATAATGTGACATTAAAATTATGTACCGAATCACAATAATTTATTTAAAAAGTGGCCGAAGAAAATGTAGTAATTTGTTTTTATAAAAAAGTTAATAAACGAGAAGAAAAAATAAAAACAATAAATTAAAGTTTCCGGTATTTGCAAAGTAGCCAGGAAAAGCAATCAGCTTCAGTAAATAATAATTTTCAGCGAGGTGCATGCTGAAGCCGAACATATATTAGAGCTGCAATGAATCAGAGTTTCAGTTAAATCCACCTTGATGAATGTTTTTGGCTTCATGCCTGTATAAATCCTCAATGCATACCAATGAAGTACGCTCCATTCCGATTTAAGTGGCTGCACGCTAGCGCT